ATAGTTTCATTGAAGAAAATAATCTTGAAATAAGATCAGGCTGTTCTTGCTTTTTAAAAGGGTTCTCACTGGTACCTATCCATCGAAAAACAGTTTTCAAATCTGTTTTTGGTTAACATACCAAATTCCTCTGTCCTCTGAGGTGTCCCACCTATAATTAAAAAAAAAATAATTTAATAACTTCAAAACCTAAATGGAACATAAAAGTTTGTCCTACTAAGATAAGAGGTCGTATCTACAAAATGAATATTTTTAGCAGATGTGGGTAGATAGATAAGTACGCCCTTTTTGCATATTTTACCTTTTCTTATAATTATAGTAAATATTTTATAATGCAAATAGGCCTTTATTATTTTGTGTTATAATAAAATAAAATGTAAGCTTATTAAATTTGTAAGAATTTTGAAATCATAATTTTCGTAGATACGACCTTTTGTCTTGGCAAGGCAGAGTCGTCTTTTCAAAAAGTCGTCATCCAGCATCATACATTTTTTCTACTTCTATCCCAGTTTGTTTCGTGTTCTTATGATTATAAATTTCCTTATATATAAAAATTCCTAACAAGAAGTGAACTAAATATACTTACATTTAAATTACATAATAATATTGAAAACTCATAATGATAAAGTTTGAGTTTGACCTTTAAGTATGACAATTCCTTAAGCATATCAAAAATTCAAAACATTTAATAAAGGGACGGACCTCTTACTATACCTATATACTTAGGATAATAAATTTACATAATTTATTTTTTCCTGAAAACCTGTAGCCATTGTTAAGTGAAACGCAAAAGTCTTTTGTTTGCTTTGCCATTCATTCATTCATTTTCCTTCGGATTAAGTTTGTAAAATTCCACGTTACTTACGTAAACCGAGCACGAATGCCTTTTTAAAATTCAAAACAATGCGTAAAGGAACCTCGCAATATCTACTCGGGCAACATGAGGTACATAATAAACCGGAGAGAAAAGTGGAAACGGAGAAAAATTCGTCGGCATACTACACAGGCATCAGAGGGAAACAAGAAAATTTTAATTAAAATGTTAAATGGTCCGAAAAATACGTCTATCCATAAAATTGGGCCTTTTTAAATGCTGAACGAATATTAAATTATGCTGAATTAAGTCAGCATACACTTTACAACTTGCTATAAAGTAACGCATAAATTCAATTTTGATTGTATCACTAACAGTGTGAAGGCTTTAAATATAAAATAAATAAATTTTTATCCAAGCCAATAATGTGACATCTTAAAATCCGACGGATAGAATCTTCCAAGTAAAACAAGAAGAATAAATTAAAGCATGAGTACCTCATGGAAATGTCCTGGGACCTCTTGTTTACTTCCGACGTACCACAAACAGAAAATGTGAAAATAGACACATTTGTGACGACGATGATAATTTCAAAAACAAGAACACTTATAAAAACATCTTGAACGAAATTGTAAAAGAAGAAAAAATTAGGGGACTAGAGCTAAAAAAAATCAAACATCATGAGATTATGTAATAAAGCAGTACTAAAAAGTATTCAAATAAATAATTGGGAATCACAATAGTTAAAACTGGAGGCAGTAAACTGGAAATAAATAGTCACTACAAATAAAGGGAATGGGACGTTTCGGCGTGGCCGTTTGGACGTCGGCCATTTCGACGCTGGCCATTTCGACGTTGGCCATTTCGGCGTTGGAAGTTTTGGAAAACTTAACATTAAAATTTTTATAAATTTTAAATAATTGTTGTATTTATTATAATTAGGTTTATTATAATTAAATAATAAAACTGTTTTCGTGTCGAAAGGAAGACTAAAATAAAATGTCTTATACTATTGCTGTTCGGCAGTTAGGTCTTCCGCTAGAACATCAAAGGCATAATCTAAATGATCGTAGGAACAAATGCCAAAGATATCACCGTTCTGCCATTTAGAGAGAATTGTAGATCAGCATTGTAGATCAGCATTGTATTCTCTCGTATGTCCCATAGAAGCCACTTGTTTCCTCATATTTTGGGCCAAGTGAAAAAAACAACCATTTATATTAACGCCTGTTCGAAATCGCAATATATTACTCTGGGTTGCAAATTTGGAACAATTTCTTTACTTCACTATTATTATACTAATGTTCATATAAAATATTAATTACACTACTATTATAATTCTGATAGGTACTAAAAACAGATTAAAACATTTATCCCATTCCTATGCAATACCTCACTTATTGCAATACTTTACTTATTTCATAATAAAACTTACAGCGGTTTCAACATACATACTAAAAAATAGTATTTCCGACGTCGAAACGGCCGACGCCGAAACGGCGAAATGGCCTGACGTCCAAATGGCCACGCCGAAATGGCCTAACGTCCAAATGGCCACGCCGAAATGGCCACGTCGAAACGGCCACGTCCAAATGTCCTAAACCCACAAATAAAGCCTTAAGCAAATAAAAGATTACTTAAAAGCAAATTACTCACAAAAAACACAAAAATTAAAATACACAACACAATAATCAGGCAAATATTACTGTACGCCTACGTCGAATTGAAGTAACTGTACATTATTTATCCCTCTAATGGGTAATGTATCTCTTGAGATACATTAATTTTGAAACTCTAGATGCTAGCCAATACAAATGTATCAAATAATATTGCACTCTGCGCATGTGCAATGTATCTGTAGAAACATGATCTGAGCGGCAGTTGTGTCTAAGAGCTGTAATTTTAAACTAGTGAGTACACAAAAATGGACTCTACATGTAGAAAGCGGGTAAGTTAACTTTAATTTTATGTTACAATAATACACTAATTATGTTTTAAACTAAATAATATTGACTTAAACTGTCAATTAACGTTATACAATCATTATTTATGAATAAAATCCATTACAGAGTTACCATAAAAGTGAATTTAAAGTTAGTATCCTGTGAGATACACTGCCTGTAGTCTGTACCCTACATAATACAGTTTTTTGAGCTTTCTTTCCTGCAACTCTATTGCGAAATACCTCCAATCAATATTTTAATATGTCAACGGTAAATATATCTGAAACAGATCCAGTTCCTGTAACTCCCGTAAAAGTTATTTTAGAGGACATCGATTCAATTAATCTACCAAGTTCTTCGTACACAGAATTAACACCATTGAAAATTCAGTGCAAGTCTGATGTGCATACTATTATAGAAAAAGGAGATCTACCATGTTCTTCGTACACAGAATTACCACCAATTACAATTCATAGCAAGTCTGATGTGAATACTAATATAGAAGTAGGAGGTACGCAACAAAAGGAAGTTTCAGAGTTGGTTTCAGCAGGAACCACATTCCTCATCTGAAGCACAAAACACATCTCAAGCAATACAACAACCTTTATTGCAACTACCTCCAACGAAAGTACAAAAGCCTCCATGAATAGTATCTACGTCTGCACAAGCAAGCAGAAAATCAAAACGAAAATATTTAGAAAAACCATCAATTTGTAAAAAAAAAACTTTTGACCAGAAAGCACCACCCGTTTTGGTTTGTTCAAAAATAAAAAAGGGAATATCACAAAAAATACAAAACCAACCCAAAAAATAGACTGCAAAAGAATTAAACCAAAGAAGCAAAACGAAATAACATTTGAATGGAATGAGAGTTTTTTCATGAAGTAAACATTGATTCTGTTAACGGTTTTTCCTTGCCCACTTCTGTAAAATCTCCTCTAGAATATTTCGAAAGGTTTTTCGATGATTATAAGATTGCTTTAATGGTAGAAAGTACAAATTTATATTCCACCACACACACAGAGGAAACTCTTTGGCTACGAATTCTGACGAAATAAAAGACTTTTTAGCTATTGAGCTTCTAATGGGTATTATAAAATTACTTGCTTACACCGATTATTGGTGTAGTGACTTACGTATAAACATAATCGTTGATGTAATGCCCATAAAAAGGTACAAACTTATTAGAAGGTGTATACATTTTAATGATAACAATGTCCATACCGGTAGTGAAGAAGAACATTTAATAAAATTAAAAATGAACGAATACAGTCATTAGATGAAATGATGATACCGTATAAGGAAACCAAAGCAGGTTCAAGAAAACAGTATGCAAAAAACAAATCAAAAAATGGGGGTACAAGAATTTTGTTAGATCTGGAGCTTCTGGAATTGTTTATGACTTTGTCATATATGCTGTTGAAAATACATTTTGGCAATACACTTTTACTGAATATGAGGAGGCATTAGGTTTTGGAGCAAAAGTCGTAATTGCATTATGCAAAACCTTGCCAGATCCTCCACTTAATAAAGTATACTGTAACGATAGTCTAATTTATTTATAGTTTATTTATTTAAAACACACTATTTACAATTTATTTATGACGTATTATAGACACTAACTAACAATTCTAATTTATTCATTACACTTTAACTTTTCATTACAATGTTCTATATTAAACTATGCGCCGATGAGTCGGCTATTTATATCAAGCCAATTCTGTGCTCGTAGTTTCTAGACACTCCCGAAAATTCCATCTCTGACTCAACGGCAATTTCTCAAAGCGTCAGTGGCATACCTAGAAGATTCCGTCGTTTCTTGTATATTTGAGACGCGGTCCGACTGTCTTCACACGTCAGCGTTGCTTCGATCATGAATCGAGTGGCAGACTTCCAAGGTCGCGATTACACAAGGTTGGCTCTGCGTCACAATACTTTGACAATTTCTTTGCTTCACTTGAATTTATGCATTATTTGAGAGAAGAGTTTGGTATTTTGAGTCTGGGAATCTAAAACCAATGATTTATAAAAAGTAAAGGACACTTTCACATAAATTTTTGCAAGATTACATTTAAAAAATATGCTATATTAAAATGTGAGTTAAAAATTAATAAGTATGTCAAAAAGCAACACATACTTACATATAGTCTGGGAGTAAACACACCTAAACGGAATGTAGGATGAGTGTTGTTGAATGCAGTCTTATTTCTTTCTTAAATCCTATGGAGACAATAGTTTTATTTTTAGGAATCCCTTGAATTGGTGTTGACCTGTTCTGGCAGGATCTTTATTTTTTTATTATTTTCCACCGGAACAGAAGGAGCTGTATTTATTACTTTTATATGTTCTGCAGGTATATTGACTTCTACTTGATATTTGTTTTCCACAGTTGGCGATTGAAGAACACTATTGGAAGCTGTTCTTCTTGAATTTTCTAGCACTTTTAATTCGTTTATGCTATATGATTGATCACCGATATAGTTTGTTTCCTTTAATATAGCAATTTTTATTCGATTTTTGTTTGTAATAGTTTCGACGTTCTCTTACTTTACTTACTTTCTTGCCTCCAAGATGTATTTTTTAATTTAGTACAGTTTTTTAATATTAGCAGTTTTTTATGATAAGCTACTATTTCAACTTTTAATGGGATATTTGATAATTTTCCTAGAGAATAAAGATCATTGATGTCCGATTTTATAAGATTATTACCCAAACGTTGACCAATTTCTGCACAAACATATGCTATGGATCTTTCCTTTATTGGTTTGTCGATTCCAAATATCAATAAATTGTTTTTCTTCTGGTTTAGTTCCAGCAATTTAACGTGTTTCTTTAATTCTTGGTTTTCTTCAAGATCACTCACTTTATTATTTAATCCTACAATTTTCATTAATACACTTGCTTCTATGAAATTTTTTATTTCTATTTTTAGGGCTGTTATATTGTGATTAATTTCTACTTAAGGCTATAAATAAATGTCGAGTTATTTAACCTCTACATACATAAAATTTCAATAAAAATATTTTATAAATTGACATTCACTTATTTTATAGTATTTTATTGGGACTTTTATTTCACTTTCATTTTATTCCATTTATACTTACCTGAGACGAGTACATCTACTTATGTAGTTGTCGGCAGATACCAGCGATATTCCTCGATGGTTTGAACCTTTAAAAGTGATTCGTGTTTGGAATACGTAACGTGAAATCGATCACCTCTATAAATAATTCATAGAATTACACCAATTTCAGTCATGATATCTAGGTACCTACGCGATGGATTTCTATAACCGCCGCCAATAAAATTGCCATTTCAAATCACGATATTGTCAAATTATCTTATAGCGGGGAAGTTTTTTTCCTACCGATCTATGGCGATCGAAAAATGATTTTCCTGAAAGTTTTAATATATGCAAAATGCATATAAAACTAGTAGGTCGAGTCTATAAACGGAATTTCTTTGTGATTTCCAATAAAAAGTGGTACCTAACTTTAAAACTCGATGTGTTTATTATTAAAGGATGTTAAATTTTAGGATTTTAAAATAAATTGTATTTCTGTAAGATGAACATAGAGGGAGTGGTAGTCTCTGCCTTCAGATCCAAGGGTCCCAGGTTCGAAACAGTAAGAAAGCCTACACAGAACACTATGCGAAATAACCTTAGTAGTTGAAGCCGATGACACAAAAAAAAGAGGAACATAGTACCTTATTCTCGAAAAAACCACAAAAGCTTAGAATAAATTGTACGTTTTAATTAACAGTAATTGGACGTACACGTTCAGTCAAAAAGAGACACCAAATTTCAACATTAGCCAAAAATGTATTCAAGCTTATGTTGTGGACGTAAAAGTAAATATTATTTAAAAAATTTCCTACAAATAGACGAATAGAAATTAATAGCTGAAATTTAGCAGAACTTTTATTAGTGAGAGATGGGTGTAAGGGTTTTGAAAACACTTTATTTTTAATACGATTTCCATGATCTTATTTTGCTATAATTAAAATAAAAATAAACAAATCGTTAAAAATCGTATTAAAAATATAGTAGTTTGTGCTATAAGTGGATATGATGGCCATATCGCACGAAGACGAAATTTGAGCACGACGCCGTATGCGAAGTGCTCAAACAGGTGAATACCTCTGCTGAATATCAGCTCTTAATTTCTATTTGACTAGTGCCCAATCACTGTAAATTAGAACGTTCAATTTATCCTATTTCAAGCTTTTCTGTTTTTTCTAGAATAAGGTACTATATTCCTCTTAAATTTTCAATCAAATAGACATACGTTAAAAGTAGCAGGTAATTCGAATTTTCTAGAAGACAAAAAACAAAAATGGAAGAAATTTAATTTTTAATTATCTTTTTAGAACACTATTTATTTTATTAAAAGTAATATCTTTAGGCAACCATCCATCTGATATTTGAATAGAGATTTTCTTTATAACCTCCTGTAAATTACAATTCGTCATACCGTTGCCATTATCGCAAATTCAATCTTTCCAACAAACTTATTTAATTTAATATTAGTCCGTACTTGGGAAATTACCTTCGCGCCGATATTCAATTTCGATGAACCTGATAAAAGCGGCCGAACTTCTTGTTCCTCCTTTGTTATAACGATGAATGGAAATCCTAATTTCCATCAAATAAGTTTTCGGAATTCAAAGAAAACCTCGTACCCAACCCTATATTCGGCCTAACTTGTGCCAAACGACGCCGTTGATTGCAAAACAAAAATAAACAATAATAGGTTGAAAATGATTTATAACGATAGGATACTTTATTAGGGTTTATAATAATTAAAATAAACTTCATTTTCACTGAGAAATAAATTGACTCTTCCTCCTCAGCAAGAGTTATTTAGGTAGATAGTTGGAAATGGTTGTACATACTAACAAATATCTTTTTAATATAATCTAATTTATTTGAGATTTCCAGTTTGCACCAATATAGTGATATGGAAACCTCAAAAAATAAAATAAAATTATTGTATTGTCTTGAACCACCCTAAGCCGACTCTGATCACCTTCGCCGTTACAGCTGTCGCTTACAGAGACAAACGCACTTCTTCGAGAAGCTACTGGAGAGATCGCTATGCGGCGGCTGAGTCGTAGAGACGGGGTTCCCAGACATTCTAGATCGTCGAGAATGTTCTAGTGCAGAGCTGGCTTTATATAAATAGCGCGAGTTTATCGATAGACAAAAAGTTATCAATATAAGTGTCGCATAGAAAAGATAAATTGTAATAAATAAATTAGAATTGTGGGTTTTAATAATACCTAACTTTTAAATAAACATTACAGTATTTCAAAGTGTATCTAACTTAAAATAATGTCTTAAAAGTTATCATCTGAACAATATAATAAACAGCTGCTGCTCCTTACCCTAATATTTACCCCTGCTTTTTCGATAAAACATGTAATTATCATCTCCAATTTAACTTTGTATATTGGTTTAGATTAATCTACTCTATGTCCAAAGGACAGTACGTGATTTAATTTACCAGGGCGTAATTGTGAGGTGGCATGTAGGTCGATGATAGATGACATCAGTTTGATATCATATAATCGATCGCGTGTATAAAATGGACGGTGGTTGGAAATATTATTGTGTGGAATTTGGTTTATCACACCTGACAGTACTAATTTTTATAAAGATTACTTATAGAAAACGTACAATTCACAATTGTAACTAAATATTAGACCAGTGTCATGAGAAAAATAAATTGATATTGTAACGTTCATTTATTTTAAACAGTTTGTTATTTAATTTATTTTTACCAAATTTAATGTAATTTATTTTAAAACTCAATTTATTTAGACTTAAATACTTATATAAGTACTTATTTACTTTTACATTTATGTTAACTGATCGGTCTCTTATGGCAAAACAGTATTATTTATATACTGGTCAAAAATGGCTCGCACGACATTGCTCCCACTTTAAGATATTATTCCTCTATGGAACTGGAACTGAATAGTTATATCTGGAACTAGATCCTCTCGTACAATTTCCAGTTGCATAGACGCAACAAGAGACGGTCTTCTCTGGACTCCGGATAAAGGCTGCAGACTTCAGTATCTTGAAATATTACTTTCACCATGATCTTAAAATTCAACTGGAACCCATGTAAGTTCATTAAATCCACATCCCCAACTAGCCATTCATAAAAGTGTATTTGTTGTGAAGTCCTCATCATCATCTACTCTATAGTCCAGGAGACAGCGACGATTTTCGGTATTTATTTTCCCAGTCAGCAAGCACGGATAGAGAATTGTAGGATTAGCAATTCTAAGCAAAATTCATATATATTTAGAGGGAGGATCCAATGGGCTGAGGCCGAAAATGCATCAAAACATACGAGAACACGGCCCTTTTTTTCCATTGATAAAAATAGTTTTAGTAGTAAGAGATGTACTAAAGTTAAGTAAAAAAATAGTCTGATTAATCTGTGAGTATGGATAATATATTTGGCAAGTGCATAAAATACACTTTCAAACGAGTTATGTACACAATTATTTCTACGACCACAATTATTTAAAGAATGTTTAAAGGTGTTTTGTATATTAAAGTGTACGCATAGGACACATAAATAAAATTATATATCACAATGTTTCACCTAACCAGTTGGTTTATTTATAGAAATTAAACATAATAATTGAAGATATTACAGAAGAAAATAGGAAAGTAAATTACATTTCCTTTTACACTTTTATATAATAATTGTTTTATTTAGAATTCACGAAACACTTATTACATTAGGTATAATTATTGTTAGTTTCGTTATGTCAAATCATTTATACTACAGGTGTGAGGAAAATACAGTGAACTGTGGAACGCCAATATCGTTGGATACGCGTGGTAGAAATGGTCCTATAATACTGCTAAAAACAGCTAAATTTTCATGGAAACACTGTACTTTTGACATTTGTGATACTCCGACGCATATGCATTATTGATGTAATCTCATAATTTTACAGTAATATTTTTTGCAATTTTAGTGTGATTTTTAGGTTATTATGGTTATTCATTTTATTTGGTTCTGATCTTTTGCGCTTTTAGAGTATTTGTCTTTTATAGTTATAGTTTTTAATTTGAATTTTAATGTGGTCTATTTATATTTGATTGCTGCTTTTCGACTAGTGCTTTATTCTTTTTGTGTTAAAATAAGCTTTATAACCATTAAGTACACGCTTCTAGTTGATATTTACCTAATCGTCATCGGGTGCTTGCAACAATGGGAAAAAGTGTATGGTTTTTTTTGGTGTAAAGTTAGACGCTTTCATTTTTCAGGTAAGTTATTTTTAGTTATTTTTTACTTAAAAGGATAGCAATACGTCCTGGTTCGAAGTATGACTGTTGATTTTTAGCTATCTGAGCCAAATTATCGGCTAAGTGTCCTCTTTTGGGGCACCTAGAACCGAAAACTATATAGTTACATAATATGTTTTTTTAAATTATTTTTCAATAGGTATGCAGCTTGAATGAGGGCTTAAGGAAGAGAACCTCAGACTGAAACATTGACTGCTATATATGCCGTTTTTAGAGCACATTTCATATAAAGTGATTTCATTCTAGCAGGAACTAGGAAAGGTTTAAAGAACATGCTGTACCAGCTATTACTTTAAGACCTCGTCTCTTTAAGTTATTATTACTTCATTCTAATGCATATATTAAAATGGTTTTTAACTTGTGCCCTTATGATTAAAAGATGTAAGTATTTTAGTTATGTTATAATAGAAATATATGATACATTGTACCGACTGACCTACTGGCCACTGGTAATTCCACTTTTACTCCCTTTTTTCATAAATTGTCAAATTATTTAAAAACAAATACATACCTAGCTATTTTCTGTAAATTACATTAAAAATGTAAAAAACGTA